ACAAACAGAGTGTTGGGAAATAACCCACAGACAATCGAACAGTTAAAACTCAATGTTGAACTGGACGTACAAATTAAAAAGTATCCGAGGCGGACACTGGTGATTGCCTTGTTAGTGAGACAACTTCCTGAGTATTCAGTTCTAGTTGTAGGGTGGACAGTTCCTTTCCACGTCGCCTTTACTTCTCCAACTCAAAGTCAAGCACCCATTATTACTTGGGGGGTGACAGACAGAGTGTCAGAGAACAACCGACAAACATTCGAACACTTAAAACTCCAAGTTGAACAGGAAGTCCAAAGAATCGACCCAAAAACATGCAACAGGGTTATTCAAAATTTCGAGTGCCGATTTGGAGCTTCTATGGGAAGAAGTGGTCTACATCTGGAGGTTTAAGTAGCGAACACCTTCTTTGAGTTTATTTAGCAATATCAATTTTGTATTAATTTGTTCTTCATTGCGCAAAAAGTGAGTATTTGAAATAGAACGCTAGGGTTGATTGTTAAGAAGTTGCACAGTTTTACGTTTAAGTAAATTTTGGTTGGAATTTTAAAGAAATAAATTGATTTTGTTTTCATTTTGACACATGTGACGTTCTCCTGAAAGAATCTTATTCTTGCGAAGTTTTGTTAAAATTTGTTTTAAAAAATAACATAGTTGTTGCCGTTTATTTGGGTCCTTTGTCTTAGACACCCGGTCCTTGTACTAGCCTACTATTACTGCTTCTGCTGCTGTTGCTGCTGTTGCTGCTGTTGCTGCTGTTGCTGCTGTTACTAGTATAATTATCATAATTATTATCACCAACATCATCATAATCATTATTAGATTTAACATAATATGCCTCATGTCCCTATCTGTGTATGAAATTGACCAGTTTAAATTGTTGCATGAATGCAAAATTCAAAAACTTAGCTGGTGATTGTTTAAAGGAATATTGGTAAATGTAACAACTCATTAGAAAATTATAAGATTGGTGATCGTGAATATCATGGAACTTGAGTATAGAGTTGAAGCGTGCCGATTAGCTGTCTTGCTGGACAACTGATTATATCGTTACGTAACTAGTCAGAGGGTAGATTCAATAGAAAGTCTGTCTAATAATCTGTAGCCTATACGTCTTTAAAAAAATTAATTAAAACAACTTAAAAGTTACAGACAATTTGAGTTCACTTTTCGATTCTTAAACATGATATCTTTCGAAGTAGCCTTTTTGACTTTTAAAACAAGACATAAAAATTAAATTCGCCCAACTTTCTTTCTTAGTAAGTCAGACCCGGGTACACACCAAATAAGATAAGATAAGATACATCTTTATGGTCTAGGCACATTGTTTGGTATTTCCCCTTGTACACACACGCACACACACACACACACACGTACACATACATGCACACACACAAACACACACACACGTACACATACATGCACACACACACACACACACACACACACGTACACATACATGCACAC